TCCTCCAATTCTGAGGGTACTAATATTAAGCACACTCCTAGCATTTTATTATTTTATTAATTAATTAATAACCAAAACTAAAACCTGAAGAAGTGCTTTTGTTGGGGAGTAATAGTTACTACTCTGAATACAGATCTTAACAATTCACAACGGATTCACCTAGACTGTGCTTTTCTCAACTTTCTGACAAACATGTAATGAAAAACAGTATCAGGAAGTCTCCTAACTGTAGTTGCCTTTTCTGTATTCATACAGCTTGATAATGTGTTACTGCAATAGTAGATTGATTTCATGTTCCCTGCTCTTCATAAAATACAGTTGGCTCTTTGTGTGTCTTCTTGGGGTTTTTTGAGTCTTACAAAATATGTTTCTTTGCTCAGTGTTCTTTCTGAGGGTTGAAATTGCCTTGTTCTGTGTAATTGCTTCCTTTTGTCTTTGATGGGTTTTAGAAAAAAACTGCTAATGAGGATGAGGTTGCTTTTGCTCAGCTGACTGAATTTTATGTGGTAAATTAGGGAATATGCAGCCAATTTGGAAAATGTAAAAATATTTTTTCCTGTCCTTGTTTGAAATCTCACTGTAAAGTCACTAACATTACATTGCATTAGCTGTTTGATTTGCAATTGCTATTTTGTAAGAAGATGAGAAAAGAAAATCATTCATTAAAGTCTGGCCTCTTTAATATCATCACAGTTGTGCATGATTTTAGAAAACTGTCAGCCCTAAATTAGAAAACACATGTAGTGCTCGTGGTTGCAAAGAAAATCTTGAAAATGTAGTGAAACTCATGATGACTTTACATCTTTCAGTGTGAAGGCAGAAATAATAACTTCTAGAAACAGTAATTAATATTTAATCCTGTGGGGTTGTGCACTTCTAAAAGTCATTGCTGTGCTAGAAAAGATGATCTTGTCTGAAAAGGTTATATGACAGAAACAAAACTATATGGAGTGTCTATCTTTTGGGACCAGGACTGCCTCCTTCCCATTCTGTGTTCTTCAAGAAAGGCTGTTCTTCTGGGGAAGGATCTCATTCAGCTACTCTTCTCAAGATCACCCATGCATTGACCATGTCACAAAATGGAGTGGTACTGTGTGTTTCTACTCGCTACCTTTCTGATATTGAACATGAAAACCGGTTTCAGTGCTCTAGAAACCAAAAGGGCAGGCAATTCTGTGTTTTAATACCTACAATACATACTAATTTTCCTTTTTAGTGGTTACTATTCAAAGAAATATAATCTTGGAACTAGCAGAAATGGAAGTGGCTTTTAAGAATAGTGTAAATAAAAACAAAGGTGCATCAAAATTTATTTTTAGAAAAAAAGAGGTGGAGGTCAGTTCCTTTTTATGAGATTTTTGAGTCTGTATGATAGATGCTTGATTTCTTCTGCGATATTATTTTTTTATAGTATAACATATCAAGTAAAGAATATAAAACGACTTTCTGAAAAGAAAGGAATTTTGATTGAGATCCAGGAAAGCTTTTACTTGCAACGTGCTTGGACTTGTACTCATATTGGCAAACTAGGACTTTAACCGAATTATAAGAATTGCAAATAAAACCATATTGAACATATATCCTAATAAAAGCTTTGTGCTGTGATTCTTGTGATATTTTCAGAGAGTGGATATATTTTTCTCAAAGTGATGCACTTTTAAATCTTCTGGCTAGGCCTATAAATCTGAGTCAATGAAATACCAAATGATATCCTGCAGTCATCTGAGCAAACTCAAACTGAAAAGCACAGCTGCTCCAAAGTTAGAATAGAAAAAGTGTTATCTGTTTTTTCTATTAAGAAAGATGCTGTAGCATTTATTTTAATTTGGGAATCTGTTCAAGTATTTTATCAATGAAAGTTATAGCCCTACAGAAAAAATTGTAATAAAATTGTTTAATTTATCTTTTAATTAAATAACTTTTATTTTGCAGGCCATAATTATTAAGGCTGACGTAGACAAGAAAAAGGGAGCAGAAGCTACAGTTAATGCCAGCTGCAGTGGCAGTTTTTGACAAGATGATTACTGTTGACCTGCATCAAAATATTAATCAACAATGAGGGTCTTGAGTTGAATCTGAACTTATCGCTTTGGGTCTGTGTTGTCACCTCTTCTAAATTTTCTTTTCATAAAGCTAGCTACAGTAAACTGAAAGAAACATAAAAGGTCTTAATTGATGTTTAGATTTAACATATTTAGATGAACCATGAATTGGATTTCAGGACTTTGCTGAAGGAGGGATCATCAAATGAATGAGAAAACAAGGAGAAAGAAAAGTAGCAATGAAATCAAGATGAAATAAAAGTGACAGTAAAAAATGGTAACTTTTCAAAATTACATATTTTCCTTCAGAAGCATTTACAAAATATAATGGACCAGCATTTGTTCTCCATTTGTTCTTCAGGCAGTGAAATCAGTGGTGTGCAAAACTCAGAATGAGTCTGATTAAATGACATGTAAAGGAATCCCCTTCTGAATGTCCTTTGTGTTGCCTTCACACCTGCTGGGCTAGGAGAAACATAACAGCTCCTTTCATTGCTCCACTTAAAGCCTGTCCCAAGGGTGACATCATTGCTGCCACAGACACTCTAACTTGTGGCTCTCGAGCCAGCCTTTCAAATTCTTTGACAGAGAAGTATCTGAACATCTATATCTGATTTGCTAATTAACTTGCCAGATTCAGTTTGCAGGTATACGATAGGTTTCTTCAGGAACAGTGTATGTCAGCTAATCATTGTTAGCCATTTAATTTTCAAATACGGATGTGACTGTGTGAATAGGCTGAGTCCTAGATAAACTTCTGCAATACCTCTGGGATTTGAGTCTCAAAGACAGCGTATGAAAGGCTTTGGCTTCTTCTCAAATACCCACATAAAGAACTCTACAAATTGCCCTCGTGAAGCATGAATTTTCAACTTTTTGAGTAAGCAAAAGGAAAAGAGTCTTTAAGTGAAATTTATGAATACAGATCAACAACAGCATGTTTTTCTTGGCTCTCAAGGTGTCTTTGTTCATTGTTGCCATTGAAATGGTGAAGAATAGGAAGAAGACTATGTGAGAATGAAGAAGAAAGAGTTGAAGAGCAAAGTGGGGGATGGGAAAACCCACTACATGCTTTGTAAATTTTAAATTTCCGTAGAAATTTACTTTCTTAATTCTGGCATTTCTTGCGTCATGGTAGTTTTGTTTGTGTGTGTGTGAATGCCAATTAAAAGAGAGTAATCAGTATGACTTTTTATCATCAGGAAGAATTCATTTCCATGAAATCCACCTTAGATCACATGTGGAACAGGGACTTGCTTAATTACATAGTAAATAAATGAAAGTGGCAGATGAGTTTAACAAAAAAAATGAACTGTGCCAAGAGAAAAATTGGAAAAAATCAGTCAGTCATTTTTCCATGGTGAAGACCATTTACCATGTCTTTACTTCTCTATTTTTATAGTGCATTGGTAAAAATATTCTCTTTGCTAACTGGAGTTGAAGGGAACAGTGCTAATGCACATATCTAGCAGGTACAACAATGGTAATCACAAAATATTCTGAGTTGGAAGGGACCCACAAGGATCTCTGAGTCCAGCTCTTAAGTGAATGGGCCATATAGGGATCAAATCCACAATCTTGTTGTCATTAGCACCGTGCTCTAACCAACTGAGCTAATCTCAGGGTCAATAATAGAAGAAATATGTTTTCCAGTTCATGTTTTGACTCATATTGGGGGTAAGAGAATATTGGCAGTGTCTATAACAAAAGCTGAACCATACTTTTATTCTGCACTACAAAGCATTATGAAGTAGTCTAATACATTATCTTAAATAAATCTCTATAAAAGTGGAGTGGTCTGTGTGCTACTTATTGTCAGATTGAAACAATTTTTATTGTGGATGTTCCTAAGAGAGGTGAATTGTTCTTTACCTCAGTTCCTGAGGGAGTCAATGGGAATATTTATTCATTTTGTTTAACCTGATTAAACAGTCATTAATAAGCAGGAAGAAGAGTCTGGTTTTATATGCTGTTTTATGGGATTTGTGCATACTTATTTTCTCAGTGTGTAGACAGCTTTCCAGGGCTTTGAAATTTTTTTGTAATGTACTTCAGTGATTTCCAGAAGAAGAACAGAATGAAAAATGCTGTATGAATTTTTTTTCTGCTTTTAGGACCTAGAGATTCTATGTACATTGATTTTCTTCACTGCAGATACTCAGATATTTGTTTTAACCCATCCAGCAAAACCCTTCTTGTTTCATCACACAGAGTGACATTGGAAATTGCTATAGGGACTATACTTATTCACTTGCTGGGCTTCCTGTAACCCTTATACCGAGATGTGCAATAATACATACAACATCCTAATTTTGGGTGCAAAACAAATCCTCGCTTTCAGGTCCAGTATCCAAAATTTATGGTTTGATTTTTTCCTCCCTCTCCATTAAAACATGATTTTCTTTCCTTTCCTAGCAAACACAAAAATAGGCAAACCTGACTAAAAAGGAATACAGGTAAAAATTATGACCACTTTACATAGTGAACATTTCTGATAGAATTTCTCTTCTTAACTCCCTGTCTCTGAGAAGTTCTGAGCATTTTGTGTTTAGCTATGCTTTTGTTAATGGAAAATATGTCTCTCTTTAATTTTATTGTATTCAGCATCCTTAATAAGTATATCCTATTATGTGTAGTAAGAGAAACATATATATATATGTCGCGACGGAAAGCTCTAGACACCTCAATGTGAGAATCCAGGAACTTCGTTTATTGAAGATTGACAACAGCTTAATATACACTCCATAATAGGTTCATGAATATTACAGAAATTAGGCTCATTATTGGTGCCCAGTTAGGTGGTGATATCATCTCAACTGCTTTCCATTGTTTACACAGGTGGCTCGTTAAGTGTCTCTGTTTTGCAAATGCCTAGCTCCTGTTTTTGAGCCCAATTTAGAATACCCAAGGACGATGCTGCTTTCTCAGGCCCTGCTATCTTAACTTTCTCATGGGCCTAGTCAGACTGCGTCCTGTACTTTAGCAGCTCATCCATAGCCTTAGCCATGTTCATATGTCCTCGCATTTCTAACCAATCCTCTCTATATATATTTATTTATTTTCTAAATAAAAATTTAATCTTTATAAATAAATAATTTCCTTTGATCAACCATTCTTTGAAGAGTGCTTTCTCCTACTTGCTTCCCCTTTATTTCCACAGTGTAAGAAACCAGTTTCCATACTAAAGCATTTAAATTAATTCTGAGCTTTGCTTGACTGTACTGAAACCCAGTGCAGTCTAGGATTTTTCGTATACATGACTGCCTACCTAAAATTTACCTAAACCTAAGCTTAGCTCCCAAATCAGTTATTCTGTGTTTGAGTGTTGAAGTTGTGAACACAAATGATTGCATTGAAATGTATAGAATCACATTTTCCATGTTCAGTTGAAAAGCTTTTGAGCTTTTTTTGATGAAACCTCTATATTTTTTTAATGAAAAATGGCAAATGCAAATAAGAGAACCAAAAAATGTTAAATATCGTATTCTGAGACTCTTGTGCAAACAGAGTATGCTAATCTTGAATAAATAGAAGTTTTCATTCGTTAAGCTAGACTATGCTGATATTGGTCTAATCCTACCATGAATTTGATTTAGCATTTTCATTGATTCTCTGGGTACTTTCCTGGAGTCTAGCTTCAAGTCTTCTACAAAGAAAAGATTTTTCTTTAGAAGTAAGGTTAGGGTCTGGAAGGAAAGATTTGTAGGTAAAGTTTGGATTCAGTTAGGAGTACAGCATACCAAAGCAAGACATGGGAGATTCACTGGAAATGAGGCATACCATCCTTGCAACGTGGTACAAATATGAACACTTTAATTATTGTATCACAAAAGGGAACATTGTTAAAAGAGTAACAATAAGAAATGAACTTGTGAACAGACTTGTAGTGTATGAAATCTGTGTACATCTGCTAGCTGTTAATCAGATGAAATTGAATTCCTTAAGCTTTTATCCTAAGTCATCTGCACTTCACTCCCAAGCTGGTCTAGCTTGCCTGCCATGTTGATATCTTAAAAGTTGTAGTTTGAGTTTTACCTGGTCTATGCTGAACAGGCAGCTGCTTTTTTTCCCACAAGAGGGATTTCCCAAAATCTTGCTATGCAGCCTTTGCTTCTGTCTAGAGCCTGGCGTCATGGGAATGCCTGAGAGTTTAGTATGCAACACTAATCAGAGAGCCCAGATGTAAGTAGAATCTCTAGAGTAAATTCAAATTATTAAATGCCACAAGCATTTCAACTCTTAACTCCTGTTTCAATGGCAGCTTAAATAAGAGTTACTAGTAGAAATATTAATTCAATTCTCTTACACCCAGATAAATGCAATGGATACAGTAGAAAGAAAGATTTTTCTTGGAGATGACTGTGATAAAGCTTCACATTCAAGGTTTTAAAACTCTCCTAGCTAGATCTGAACAGTGAAGTTTGGCTTCTGTTCTGAAAAGTTACCCCACCCCAAAAAAAAAAAGAAACCCAACAAACAACTCAACAAATCAAACCCAACCTGTGGTCCAATAATCAGTGACAATATAGCCCTCTGCTAGTTAACAGAAGTGTTTAAATGCTCCATGGATCCTTGCTGCCATGTATTCTTAGAGCTGATGTGAGTAGAGGTGACTGTGATTATTCATTATGACTATGAATTATAGTAAGATTGAAATGCATTAAATGTGTTCATGTATAGTAGCAATCTTAATATGTTCTCTAGAGTTCAGGGTAATTTCATAAATTAAGGCAGATATCAGTGCAAGCAAAATCTAATCAGATTATAAGAATTAGTTTAGCTGCTTCAGTGCTCCTATGGATGGTATATGTCTGTGCTCTATTGAAATTAATCAGACAGTCTCACATATCAGCATTTCTGGGACTAAAAGAACACAATTGAATTGAATGCATTGTTGGAAGGCATTAAGCACTTCATTGATTGCTAGTCTGATAACTACAGTATTCAAATCCAAGAAATGTTCTACATCTGTTAATCTCAAGACAATGAAAGCCCTCAATAATTTTGACCAATGTCAAAACAGAACAACTACAATGTGTACAAACTGTACACAATAGAGAGCAGTGCTGCTCAGCGGCAAGGCAAGTATCACATGTGACACAATATCCTGACACTCTAGTTTCAGTTGTGAAAGGAAATATGAAAAAACATTATGGTGTGCTCATAGATTTGAAACTGGAGGGAAAAAAAGTCAGTGTGAAAGCCATAATTACAAATACTGTAAAGAGAACACCAACAATGTAACTAGATTCTGAATAACTGAGCTAGCATTATTTTCATCTAGTGCTTCCACTTCAGAAGAGAATTTTTTTTTAATATAATATATAAATAAATATGTGTACTTCTGCATTTCTAAAGTCTAATGCTAAATGTACTGTATTGGTCAAAAAACTACTTTCTTAGTAGATTCTTATTAAAAAAATGTTTTGCAAAGGTTATATTTTAGTTACATAAAATGAAATTTGTAAAGTATAATTTTTTTAATAGTAGAAAATTTCAAGTAGTATTTATTTTTCTGTATTGTATGATGAATGTGACAGTCAGACAGTCACAGTGACAGATATGGTCTTCAGAATTTTAACACAATCCACCTTTTTGTCCATGATGAAAAAAAAGTGAAATTAAAAATAAGAATCTCCCTGGCATTTAGGTAGATCATGGGTTAAAAAAGAAGAGTGAATTTTTTGCTTTGCAAAGCAGTTTCAAGACTAGATATACAAGTACTATAAAGAATACAGGTAGAATTCTTTAGTTGCTTGTGGCACATAGAGATACTTTAGGGTAGTGTTCGATAATATCCTTTATTAAATCTACTATTTTTTATTTCTAGGGTAGAGATCTTTCTCTATATGTACAGGCAATAGAAAGAACTTTCTAAATCAGATGGTATAATCCACAAATCTTTACATTGTTAGAATTATTTTTACGAGAATTTCAGGTTCTGCAAACAGTTAGAACACATTGACATTGCTGTATGTTTGACAATAGTTAAATTTTCAGTTTTGATGAAAACATGCAGAAATCATTTTCGGTTCTATGTCCTTTACTCCGAGAAGCTGTTTGTTTGAAACAGAGGTTGAGAGCAGATCACCATGCTTCTAATGTCCTAATTCAGTGCATGTTTTCAGTACATACCATTGTCATCTTCATCCTTGGTATATCTGCTCAGTTCTCTTCCCTACCCTTGCTCCTTTCTCCACAGCCCCCGTGCCTCTGGCTCTGACAGTCAACACAGTATTCAGAGCCTTCTTTCTTGTGTCACTGTGTACCATTTATCTGCTTGCCATTTTTCATCTTTCATCATTCATTTTTCTTCACAGCTTGTCAGCCTAGAATCATACTTCTTTGTCTGCCTTAATTCTGCATGTTCACTCAGTGTTCACTGACTTTTCTGCATTCATTCTCATGCACTGCGAGTTAAGCATTCATAATTTTATTCTGTATGTCCTCTTGCCTCCACATCCTTTAATTTGTGGTGTCCTTCCTTTTTTCTATTCATTATGATTTAAATCACTCTCTTAATATGTCCACGACCTGTTGGCAATAGCCTGCAAAGCAAGAAGGCAGATCACAGTCCTCTTTTATAATTTAAGCCTGGATCAGAGTCCAGACTTGATTGAGAATTCAAACCATAACACCCCCTAGCTGAAGTTGGAGGGATGAACAAGGTGGCCTTTCTTTTGCAGTTAATTTCAACTGTCAACAAGGCTCAACACACTATAGTGTGTAGTAACTATAGTTACTATACACTATAGTGTATAGTAACTATCTCCCTGACATCCTGAATTAGTGGCCTGGAGGAGTCTGGACTCCAAGGAGTGGCCTGCTGTTTCAGCTGTTAAATAGTGGGGACAGCTTTACCTCAAGTATTTCTTCAAAGATATAGGGTCCGTAGGTTTTCTGGACCAGACCCTAGACTTAGAACTTGCTGTGGTATTTGGAACAGAGTGCAGTAACAGCCAGACATGTTGAATGGTTTTGAAAGGCTTATTCATTATTTTGGAGGATATTCAAATGCATGATCCTTGGATCATGCAAGTTGGACTTGCACTCTAAGACTAAGACATCTGTTTGTATACTAATATCTTGTATTGAACTGTAGTTGTCTCTCTTAGATGCTGCATAAGCATTATGAAAACATGGTTCTTGTTCCCCTTTAATGCACTGAAAATTTAAGTGGAAGAGTGCTGTTCCCATTTTACTTGGAGGCTTCTGCAGAAACCATTGGTAAAGCATATGAATTCTCTCAGCTGATAACTATTAATTAATTCACTGGTTTAGGCCTTTGTAAGTCAAAAAATATGGTTTGAACTCTGGTGATGTATGTAAAATGTGCAGAGAATTTACTGGTTCTTGGTTACTTCCTAAGTGTTCAAATATCAGATATTCTGTGATTATTGTGATTTTAAAACCAAAATAAGTGACTTGATTTCTCGTTAGTAGCTTCATATTAACAAAACAGAAACACATATTGGAGTGAGCTGTAAAACAGAATGACTTATAACAGGCCACACCACACATCCTAAAGAAATGCTCCTAAAGAGTCTGGAATGACTCTGAAATATTCTGTACAGCTAGTAAAGGCATAGACACTCAGACAGTCAGAGATCTACAGTAGGCCCCTTCATGGGTCAGTCCTGGTGCTCCTTGGCCACGCACTGACAGAATTGTCATTATGATCCTAACATGATACTCATGGAGGAATTAAAGTTTACATTTTGATATCTATTAGAAAAAAATAACACGAATAATTTAAAAGCTTTGACTACTTGGTGAAATATGATCACAGTGTTGTAAATTACAGATTTTGAACCCCACAGTGAAGCATTCTCATGGGGCTGGTGGATGATGGTTATCCTGAAAAAATACTTCACAAATTATTTTTGTTGTTATTGAATATTAAATCTTCAAAATCTGTTTTGTAGTTAACAAGTGACAATATGAGAGGCCTGTAAACACAGTCTTCAGGTAAGTTTAATCCTTGCTTGGTGTATTCAAATTACAACGTTTCAGAACAGCAAAAGTGAAAAAATTCTGACAAGTATGGAAAACTTGCTGGCACTAAACAACTGCTCTAAAAACTGCTGTGAAGTCTGCACAGAAGCTAAGCCACAAAACCCATGGAGAGAGAGGAAACGTGCCAGAGCAAACTATTTCTAATGCTCTGTTCAGTCTCTACTACAGGAAGCTTTTGTAGTTGAACTAGTGATCGCTTTATTTCTCTTGTCACCCCAAACACCAAGAGCATCTTTGCTTCCTTTTTTTCTATAAAAAGGTATGAGAGATCACATAGTGAAACACCAGTCAATCTCTTTCTTAAGGTCTCCCATGCAGCTGTCATGTGGGAAGGTATTTTCAGCTGTTGCAATTTAGTCATCAGCAATCATCCTGCCTGAGTAAGGATTGCAGCTGCTATCAATTCATTGCCTGTATGTCCTTTTAATCCTTTTAATATTGTATGTGACTCTGAAAAACAGCAAATTTGTGAAAAGTAATAGAGTTTAACTGCTTCGTACACTGTTCTGTAAGAAGAGTAAAGACAAGAGTGGAAAATGTTGAGTGATGAAAATGAGGTGGGCATTCTCACCTACTGATACTATATCGAACCGCCATGAGACTAATGAGTGCCTTTTGGGTATGACTGATGAGTTTTTTCATTTACAGGAGATGAAAATGTTTTATTTGTTCAACTGTGGCTGCTGAAGAGGTAGTACAATCCTTGGCTTAGCTGTGGTTGAAGCATCACAGTCCTTGTTTATGTTTACTCATAATACTTGATGAAGTAAGTCAGGAAGTGAATGTCTCTCAGAAACTCTGTTTTTCACCTCCCAATCTATAATCCTTGGCCTCAAGTAAAACCACTTCAGACAACTCAGTAAAGCCAAGACTGGTCCTACAAATGAAACTTCAACAGCAGATTGTCTGCATATGAACTAATTGCTTAAGTTGTACTCTGACCTGTACAGCTCAAGGAGTTGTCTCACAAAGAGGTAGTGGCGTTTGCATCGTGGTTTTTTAATATTTTCAATTCCTTTGGGAATTGATGTCATGGATGTGTTTATGGTCTTTTAAAGATCATCAATCCTCTTTGCTCCAAAATTAAACTTGACATTCACATAAAGCAGTTAGTGTGATGTTTGTGGGTGGAATAGACAACGTGGACTCCACCATACTGTTTCACTTTTCCTGGCAGAGATAGGCACCACCCATTTATTTATCTTAACTGCTAGACACTGCCACAAGGTCTTGACTTGTCTAGATGGAAGGTCACTACACTGTTTTATAGAATCATAGAATCGTTTAGGTTGGAAAAGACCTTTAAGATCATTGAGTCCAACCATTAACCTAACAGTGCCAAGTCACTAAACCATGTTCCCAAGTGCCATAACATGTCTTCAAAATACCTCCAGGGATGGTAATTCAACCACTTCCCTGGGAAGCCTGTTCCAATGCTTGATAACCCTTTTAATGAAGAATTTTTTTCTAATAACCAATCCAAACCTTCTCTGGTGCAACTTGAGCCTGTTCCTTCTTGTACTGTTGCTTCTTAGCTGGGAGAAGAAACTGACCCCCAACACACTACCACCTCCTTTCAGGTAGTTTGTAGAAAGCAATAAGGTCTCCCCTGAGCCTTCTTTTCTCCAGACTAAACAACCCCAGCTTCCTCTGCTGCTCCTCATCAGACTTGTGCTCCAGACCTGCTTCATTGCTCTTCTCTGAACACACTTCAGCACCTCAATGTCTTTCTTGTAGTGAGGGTCCCAAAACTGAACACAGTATTGAGAATGAAGGCGCTTTTTTTGACAGACAGGAAGAAGACACTGAATGACAATAGTGCTGAGTGTCTTTGGCAGGCAGTCGGGAGCAGCTTAGATAAATGTAAAATGTAAGTAGATAAGTTTACAAACAAAAAGCTTATGTTTCTCTGCTTTATAAATTTGCCTTACAGAGCTGCTTTTGGCTTTAAAGAAGGGTCCCAAGTGGATTTACTTCAGACCTAGGATTATAGTTTAGGACATGAGAAACTGCGTGTGAATTTTTGTCACTGTGTTTAGATTACACAAAAATACCTTTACATGCTTAATATTATTGAGTGGGAAAGGGGGATTCTGTTCAGCTCAAAACAGTGTTTGCAGTTGGGTACATGGGACAATATTTGATAGAATTTTAAGGCAGAACAGACAGTTTACTGTTATTGAATTGTGAAATTGTTTGTTTTTTTCCCCTGCATTCAGATACTGTAAAAGAGCCTATTGAAGTTTCTACAGTGTCATAGGAGTCTTGTTTGTTTCCCACAGAGTAACAACCTGATGAACTTCTGTCCCCAGAGGCCATTTACTGTAGAAATGCAGATTTTGTCAAATGCTTGACCAGAAGGATGGAAGTGGTATACATATGTCTGTGAACAGAATCAAGCGGTTTGTGCTTATCATTAGAAAGGCCAAACTAAGCAGCTTTATGTACTCATATTGATTTTTTGTAAATTACTGTTTGCTTTGTAAATTTCTGAAGTGAAAGACAGTTTCACTTGAGCAAGAGAGAAAGTGAAAGAAAGATAATATGAAGAAATAAAATAAAAGTTGGGGGCTGGAGGTTGCAATTTGTGTTCAAGACTGCTGCTTACAACTCAGTCTTTTTTTGTTTATTCTCTGATATAGTTTATTGGACTATGGAGTATAAAATTTTTCACAGTATAACAATACTAAAATACAATATGTTGTCTAAGGTGGAGAATACCTAAGCCTCCGTGTAGAATAAACTCTTTCCAGTTTAGACTTTTTGATAATCATAATCTTCTTTTTACTGAAGTCCAAGTGAGTCCGTATCACATTCAGCTTGTTGCTTCCTTCAGATCTGGTGAAAAACAATTTGTACTAAAAAAGACAATTGTTAAAAGAAAATCCCAGCCATTTTGGTTAGTTGATTGAACTATTACATTTTGATGTGCGGTGGTAGCTGGATTATTTTGGGTTCCAGATAGGGAATAGATATAATTTTAAGAAATGTTAGCTTAAGGCTCAGCATCACATAGGAAGTCTACTACAGAACTATGTTGGAATATTAGCTCTTTTTTTGGTCACAGCATATTGACATATGAGAAAAAATTTCAAACCTTGACTGAAAGAGCACATCAATGAAAGGGTTTATTTTTTTAGGGAATAAAATTTCTTTTATTAATTCATCTATGTGAGTAGATTGCATATAAATCTATAAATGTAATAAGGTTCTTTGTTAAGAAGATGTGATGCTGCTGACATTTAATATGTTGAGAATGCCTTTGCCTAGGTCACAGTTGTGACTGCATCTAGGGGAATGCAGATAATGATTTAGTCAATGGTTTGGTTTTGATACCTAGATATTTGCAAAGAATTGTCATGTATATAAATTATTTGTGGTAATTTTACTATTGTAATTAATCATCTTTTTAAAATATGAGCTACATTTTTTTAATCCTAGGTAGTAAAGCTGAACACATGCCTGGATCCACATGCAAAGGACAACAAAACAATACTGCTTTTTTTTATGATTAGGAAAATTTTTATTCATTCAACTAAGAAAATCTCAGGACTTATAATCATCTAACTTTCATGTATATTCTATGAAAATGTATAAATGAAATTGCAATGTTGTGGAATTACTTTGAACACAAAGAGTACATAATTTTATTTTACAGCTTTTAGAGAAAACAAAAAAATTTAAAAAAATATTCAGATGAAATCCAATATCTATTTTCTTTTTTCCTGTAATGAGTTTTTTGGATGCATCTGATGAGTTGTAGTGTGTTTTGCTTCACAGAGTACAAATGGAAGCTTCTTGACATCTCTACTTTTCTGTGGTGATTTACATTTTCCTTCTGTTTATAATCCTTTTAATAATGTGGGTTTGCTTCTATTAATTAATCAAGGAATTCT